GGCCTTTAAGAAGGTGTAATGCTATGTGGATGTTTTTATCGAAACCTTCTCAGGGTTTTCATAGTTCTCTTTAGAATTAGTCCTGTGGGAATAATAGATGCCTTTTGGGATCTATTCTTACTTCTTATTCATTCCCCTTTTCTTGTATTAAAATCTACAACTTGAAGTTATTCTGTCATTTAAAAATCAGGTCCATGACCTCATCATCACCGGGTTTTCCTCTCCAGGCCATTTCCAGTAGAATGTTGGTCATATTCCCATGTGAGAGAACAAGTCAGTTATTCATTACATCTGATCAATGAGCTAGTGCTATACCATAAGGAAGTGTAGTAAAACCAGAAACTGAGAAACACTAGAAAAAAATTTGCTTTGTCTTGTGTTTTAATTTGGGGTATGATAAAGTACCACAGGACATTAATCCAGGGACTGAGATAGACTCTTAAGTTTGGCAATCAGTGAAAGAACTTGCTGAATCTCTCTAGAATTAACCTAAAGGAGCCAGCCTCTCTTCTCATGAGAACGATTTATTTTAAGGGTTAGCTGAGAATTAATTCTACAGTGTTTAATTCCACATATAAACTTCATTTTTATATAAATGTTTTGTTGTAACATATTCAATTACTTTCTTTTGTTGTTTTTCTGCGACGTTCCCTTTTTCACCTTTTCTAACTTCTTAAACCAAAATTAAAAAACTCACTTATCTTCTTGCTGTTGTAGTATTTGCTTTCATTTCTTACTTACACTCTGATGATGTTTACCCGATCTGCCCACATCACCTGGATTCCAGGTGTACCATTCTTTCCCTGGGGAAAGCAGTCATTCTTCAAGGCAAGAGATGCAAGAATGAGCTCATGTCAAATGATATTTTCTGATTTTTTTCCTCCAGATGTGGGGATCCAAATCGGATCTTGTGCTTTTGGGTGCTAACTCTGAGTCTTCTTCCTTTATATCTAAATGACAATTTGTGGATCAATGAGGATGTGTCAACTAGCAAGATTGAGGACCTGGAGGGATGCTCTGTGGAAACTGCTTTAAAATCATTCAGAGGGAGGGCACAGAGCTCTGGTTCTGGTATGTTCACTGAATCTGGAGCAGTGGGGAAACTTGCTGAGATTTGGCATTCAAGACCAAAGAGATTTACCTAGGGTCTGTGCCCTGTAGGCCAGAATTATTGCTACTGTTGTTCCTCATTTATGCTACTTTTTCACTTGGAAAAAGATGAAAACTTGTAAGGCAGTGAATCTATCTTTACTCCTTTTCAGATGACTGATTCTAAAGGCAGGGTGAGGTTCCTGCTGACCCTTCTGTTCCATCCTGATTGTCCGCCTTACTGAAGGTCTCTTTTCTACAGCTCACAATAGTCGGGTAGAGCCCAGTGGTGCCGAGCCACAGAAATGAGACCTTGGAGGGAGAAGCACTACAGGCCTCTGCTCCAGTTTCCATAGAAATGAGTCAGAGGTGGTACCAGTCACAGGGGTTCTTAAAGCCAAAGAGAATTTATTTTGAGAATCCCATCACCTAACAAATACCACTCTGCAGTAGTTTTTACAGGTGTAATTTATTTCATTGCTCTGGATAGCTTTGGCTCAGGCTTTCCAATGCCCTGCTCCAGCCTTTCTCCTTAGAATTCTTTTTTTGTTGCTTTCAAACTTGATGGAAAAAGATAACCAATTCATGCCAGTCAAGCTACAGATTCTGAACAGAGGGTTTAAGATAATTTATTACATTTTACATATTTACATTTAATTTATAACATTTATTCCTAAAGGTTTAGGAGAAAATTCAATCCCAGCTAAAGAGCTGTAATTAAAAGAGCACAGAACCAGCAGCCAGAGGCCCCGAGCTCTGGCTGAAACTTTAGCTCTGCCAGAGATGACATTTCCTGTGTGACCTTGGGCAATTCTGCAAGTTTCTGAGCTATGATTTCCTAGTTGGTAAAATAGAAGGACCGGATTGGCTGCTCTTTAACTTTTTCTGGCCCCTGAATTTCTCTGAATCAATGGTGTTATGTAATGGCAAGAAAGAGATTCCATGAAAAAATATCACTGCTCTGTGGTAAAAATGGTGGTAAAAAAATTTATTTGTAGGAAGCTTGTTAGCAGTAACATCATAAGGGAAGGAAAAAGAAAGGAAAGAAAAGAAAAAACCTACCTATTTACCAAACTTCTGCAGTGTGCTAAGCAAATTCACAAACATTATCTCATGTGGAAAGACATAATAATTTCAGGGATTTCCCTCCTAAGGGAGAGAGATGACATTGTTGCTTGTTGCCCCAAAAGTGCTGTGATAGCAACATTCATGGAGTGTTTCTATGCGCCAGGCACTCTTTGAGGCCCTTTACACATACTGACACAATTCATTATTCCCATTTACAGATGCTGCAACTGAGGCATAAAGAGGTTAAGTATCTTGCCCAAGACCATCCATTTAAGCAGCAGAGCCAAACTTTAAACTCAGAAAGTCAGACTCTTGAACTTGCACTTTTAACTGTATGCCCACCTTGCCTCTTGCCATTCATTCATTAAGCAAATATTTGGTGAGCATTGACTCTATGAAGGCATTAAATTAATCCCTTTTGAAGATTCCAAGCATGTCACCATGTCTTTGTCTTTAAGAAGCTTACACTATACACAATAGATGATCAGGTATGTGTGTGAAATGAGTGACCACACTCAACCTTAGCCAGGCAGTACTTGATAACCATCTCTATATTCTGAAAATGTTCATAATTCCATTCAAATAAGTAGACAGGGCCTGGCAAGAGGGGTCCCTGCTCTTAGCACCTGCTCCAGAGGTCCCACTCTGGTTCTCCAGCCCTGGTCCTCTCTATGGCCAAGGAATCCAGGGGGCACAGAACGCACCTACCTGGAGCCTGAGTCTCAGTCCCTTCTAACCTCCCTGTTGGGTAGTTGAGTCCTTGCAACGGTCTTCTCCAAACCCCCTGAGCCTACTTCAAGGGCTTGTACTGGAAACAAACCCCATGAGGGCAGACCACGTCCGCTAGGCACATGCTCCTCAGCCAGGGGTATGGCCAAGGGCAGCTATTTGTGGGAGGGGAGTATGGACAGACCTTAAACCCATGGGCCCACAAGGACCTGTGTGTAGCAGGACTGAACTGAGAATAGAAAGAGGAGTGGGTGGGTCAATTCCACCCAAAATCCCACTGCCATGTTCAGTGCAGAACTCCAGAGATTGAGAGAACTCTACATTAGAACCTGGTCTTTTAGGTTGTTATGAAGATAACTTGTCAAGGTAGGAGGACAGCACATGTTTCAATTAAACTTGCTCACTTGGTTTATAGCTTTTACAATGTAGACATATGGGCATATGGTTTCCATTTGGCCCCAGCATACCCCTCCACTGCATATCACATTTACTCTGTTTCCTGTGCTCACCAAGCTGCAGCTCTTTCAGTTTCTTTCATTTTCTAGAACTCTCCCAGGACAGTCTAACTTAGACACTGTTTCTGGCCTGTCTGTTCTTTGAGTGGTAACATCACGAAGTAGCTGGTTTGAAAGGAGCACTGTGCCATAGAACTGAGGAAAGCACAGGCTCTGCTAGAGATGTTATATATTCTCTCTCTTCGAAAGCTGGTTCTTCTGAAATCAAAATATTCGGGGGGGAAGCAAAAGGGGCACAGGGCATCTGAATTCCAAAGGGCTAGGGAAGCCACCACTTCCTGGATAACTGCACTCCCTCCACCTTACACCTAAAACAAGGTTGAAGAGGCCTGCCAGGGCCATCTCAAAAGGAGAAGCAAAGCCTGCAGAGGAGGCCAGCCTGAGCCCTGGGGTGGGAACGGGTGCTGGACTCAGCATGAGGAGGAGAGCCTGGGGTCAGTTCCATGAATCTTGGCTCCCTTCTGCATTATGAATTCTGGTTAGTACCTGGCAGAGGGATGTCTGATGGCTCCACCCTCAACTGGATCACCTTTAGCCCAAATTGCAATAATTTAAGTGAATCAAATTACTATAAAAAGATACTTTATTATTCATTCACTGGACATTTACTGAGGGCCTACTATGTGCCAGGCAATGCTCTGAACTTGCCCTACCTACTGGATGTTACGTACTGTTATAGACAATGTACTCTAGTACATTCCATAAATTGTATAGTATATAATGAGAGTACTATATCTATATTCTCTATGCTTGACATGTTGTATTAAACATCACACCCTGTAGTCTACATATAGTGGATAATATACACAATATATTATATATGTATTATGTCTACTAGAACAGTCTTTTGCCACAATAGGAATTTAGTAAATATACATTCATTGAATGAATGAATGAATATGATACTTATTTAATACCATATTCTAGCAGAGCTTGGTCATTGAAGAGTTATTCTTCCAAACCCTTCCCTTTCCTACCCGCTTCTTGAAGGCTAAGAAGATTTTCATCTTTCACCACCTGTTCTGGATTCTTGGAACAGGTAAATTCATTGGCCTACCCAAGTCTGAGCTCTAGGTCTGAACCCGCATGGATCTGAGGGTACACCGGGAAAAGAAAGGCTGACAACTGGACCCCAGGAATGTCAAGGCCACCCTGGGCTTGGAGGGAGGAGCCATGCCTCCACGCTCCACTCAGAGAGGGGGTTCAGGATACTGGGTGGTTCCAGGTGATCTATTGCTTTCTGGAGTTTAAAGTTCAGGGGATAATGAAGTCCCACAGCTGGAAGGGGTGTTAGTGACACTGCCTAGCCCAACTCTCTTAAAAATCATAGCCCTACTCCTGCCTCCCCAAATCAGATAAGACAGGCATAGGCTCTGACTGTTCCTTAAGTCTTAGCAGCAATACTCTGGCCGGGTTTGCGGGGTTGCCTCCAGTTCCATTGCTTTTGTAACAGGTGGCCAGAAAGCTTGGGGTCCCATGATAAGCGTTTCAGTTATTTCCAGGATGGATCGAAAGAAGGAAGGAAGGATGGATGAATGAATGAGTGGGTGAGGGGATGGATGGATGGATGGATGGGAACGGTAATCGCGGCCCAGAGACAGGTCCGAGCCCCTCCGGAGCCCCAGCCCTCCTCCGGCTGCGGGGCTGCCGCTCCTGCTCCCGAGCCGGCTTGGAGCCCTGAGGGAGGGGGCGGGCGAGCGGGGGCCCTGGGGTGGCCAGGGCGTGGGGAGGGAGGACTGGGCGGTGGGGACCGGAGGGGAGGGAGGACCTTGGAGACGGAGAGGAGGGACGGGCGGGGAGAGGGCCCGGCGGAGGGGCGGCGGACACCGCGGGAGCTCCGCGCGGCTGCAGCGCGGGCGGGAGCGGGGACGCAATGTCGCCGCTGCCGCCTCCTCGCGGGCCGGGGCTGCGCCGCCGGGGCTGAGCCGCCGCCAGAGCCTACAGCCGAGCAGCCGCCGGGCGCGCCCGCGGCGCAGGAGGATGGGCTGCGGCGGGAGCCGGGCGGATGCCATCGAGCCCCGCTACTACGAGAGCTGGACCCGGGAGACAGAATCCACCTGGCTCACCTACACCGACTCGGACTCGCCGCCCAGCGCCGCCGCCCCGGACAGCGGCCCCGAAGCGGGCGGCCTGCACGCGGGTAAGTGGCCCGGTGCCTGCAGACCCTCGCCCGCCCGCTTCCCAGGGCGCCTTGGCCCGGGCACTGAGAGAGGAGCCGGTTCCCCGAGGAATTGATGGCTCGGTGGGGGTGACTGGGAGGAAGCAGAGGCAGGACCTGCCCGCTGAGCGGTGGACAGACGCAAGCCCAGGGAGCGGGGTCGACCAGAGCCCCTTACCGAAGGCTGCGCCGACCCCCAGCTTTGGGAAGCCCAACGCTGCTTGGCCTTGTTCAAGGCTTGCTCGCTGGTCGGGGGACCGGTGGGTGGGAGGACAGCCCACCTCCCCCGCACACCTATCCCTCAGCCACCCACCCTGATCCCCCCGGGGCCGCCTCCGCCCCGTTTTGGCCCATCTGCCACCCCCGGCCACCTGCGTACCCAGCCTGGTGACTTCTCATCCATTGGCCACCTGGCGCCCCTCTCCCTGGATTTATACACAAGGCGCCTGACTGGGTTCGCCTGGGTGGAGTCTTCCTTGTCGCTTCCCCTTTTCTCCCTCTAGGAAATGAACCCAGTCGCGGTCTTCAAAGACCAGAATCCTAGTTTAGGTCAAAATAAATGCATGCCGGCCCCATCGCTAGTTCTGCACTTTGGGTTACTTTGGAGCAGTTGTTCCATAGCAAAGGACTTCTCTCCCTACCCCATGGTGTCCCAATGCTTTGTAGGAGGCAGGGCATACACGTGGATTTTGACTCTAAATTAAATACTCTTGCCTAGGTCTTTCCTCATCCAGCAGAAATCTGATAAAAGGAGATGCAAAGAACTGTCTGGTCAGGTCATGAGTCAAGATTTTTTTTCTTTTTCTTTTTCTTCCCCCCACCCCTTTTTTTCTTTTTTAGCAGAACAAGTAATTACAGTGCAGAGATGCAAACTGTTGCCACAGACTGACCTTTAACCATACACGTATTGGTGACATTAAAAGGAAAAAATCTCACTACTTATTACATGGATGTTGTCCAAAGCTAGATCAATATCTGGATAAACATGTTTTAAGTGTTTCTTCGCCCAGTGATGTTTTTGGCATTTTTGAATAATGAAATCTAAAATGGAAAATAGGGTTAATTTGAAGCATAATGTATATCATAGGAGGAGGAAGGAAATGCAAATTACTTTTAAAAGGTTAAGAATCTTAAATCCATGCCTACTAAATAAGAGCTGTCACTTTAATCGAGAATAGGTTTCTCCATTTTTAAGGACCAAAGCTGGCTCCTTTTCCACATTAACTTTGTGACTTGCTTTTATTCTGTCTGTGAAAGCTATACAATACAATACACACTATATTTGTCTCTAGGTTTTCTGACTCACAGTGGCAATCATAATGGTTATTTTGTATTGCCTATGCTTTTAGCAAGTTACCAAATGGTGTGTTGGCTGAATTCAGTGTCAGCATGAGCATAGATATGAGCCTTCTAGATGGACCTGGTAAATGTTAGATGTGACAGAGTTTCCCAAGGAGGTGTGGTACTTCTCAGCAGAGAGTCAAAGGCCAGAGATGTACTCCAAAGAAATAAGGGTGAAAAGATCTAGCATGAAAAAAATATAATAAACAATCAAAACCCCGTTAAGTACCGCTTTAAGAAATGGTTACCATGGTGACTGGGAGTATATGGGGTATGTGTGTGTCTCTGTGCGTATATGCATGTGTATGGGTATGAAAGTTATTATGGGATGGCTCATGTACATACATGTTCCTCACAACTTTCCTGACACTCCTTGATTTATTACTCTGCTATACTAATTCACATCCCATCCATCATGAGATCTGGTCCCTGCAACAGGTGGGGCCTGGGACAGACACACTCATTCATGGTACCCTGCCAAACATGGGCCAGCCCTGCCAGACAGGTGGTCCTGAAGGCCTGCATCCTCCAGAGGAGGAGCTCCACTTCAGCCCCAGGACAGCACCCTGAAATTGGCAAGATGCTTGTATGGGCAGGGTCATTTTAATTCCCTAGGAATTTCTGTTAGCCTCAGGGGAGAAGGATATTTCTGAAGACTAAGATTAAATCAAGGCCTTCCTTGGGGGTGTACTGACATTCCCTAGGGCCTTTGGGAATGGCTTGACTCCTGCGGGTTTTTCAGACTGGGAGCTGGTCTTTTTAGTCAGAATGGGTCATCTGTGAAAGCCACAGATCTCCTGGGTTTCAGCCACCCTGGGAGATGGGCCAGGACTCTGTATTCCTTTCATCCTCTTTGCCTCCTCACTCCCGCCTCACCCACCCCCTGCCAGCGCTTTACTCATGAATTTACCGCCAAGCTGCTGGGGGACACCTAGTAGCCCCCAGTGGCTGTGTTGTAATAGGAGGCCAGAACGCTACTTTTTCCTGTTTACAGCATTTGTTTTCTGATGGGAGAGGTGGGTAGGAATGAATGAAGGAGCTAGACTCAGGAGAGTCCAGATTGTAAAATCAACAAAAATGGCTTCACTATTAGAGTTCTAGAGCTGGAGAAGGTCTCTGGAAGTCAGCCAAGTGAGGCAAATGAGACTCTCAGGGGAATCATCCCTGGTTGAACACTCCTTCAACCACTCACAGACTTTACCCTCAGTTCCCAAGAATCCTTTCTGGGATCTTAGTGATCCTCCTTTGGTGTCCAACTGAAGCCACCTTTTCTCCTGGCTACTTCAGGACTTTTGAGGGTTAGGGGTGAAGCTAATTCATCTTTGCATCTTCTGTATTGAGCACATCTGGGACTTTGTAAAAGTTTTCGGAATGAATGGATGCTCTGTGTAAACCTGTCTTCCATCCTGTCAGCTCATCCTAGATTCCCTTCTGCCTCTTCTTTGCAGTCCTTGCTACTGAGGTTTTCCTACTTGAATCAGTGTAGCCTAAATTCTCCCAAGGGCCTTTCTGATCTCAACTTCTCTTTAAAAAGTTCTCCCCAACTTTACCCTACTCCCTTCAAACACCTGACCCAACCCAAAGATTCCATTTTTTCTGTAGCCTCCCTGAACCCACCACCTCAACTCCACAAACACATCTGTCCAAGAAAAGTCCCATTTAATCACATCTGCTTTTAAATCTCACTTGTGTTTCTCTTAGCCCAATCCAGATTGAGGGTGTGTCCCGTGACAGGTGTCCAGCAGATATTTGTTGAGTGAATTCTGAATTTCACTGCAGATAGGGAGGGGCATGTTTTTCTGCCAGTTCCACAAAGAAGAGGGTTTCTTGCATCTTCTTCTTACGCAAAAAGTGATCCCGAGCCTGTGGTTCCTGTTTTTGGAGATCGTCTCCACTACTCAGCGGAACTGAATTAATTTTTTAGATTTGACTGTTAAGTAGGCTAGAATTTAAGACCTAGCTGAAGCCATGGTATGTGATAGCCATTGCTTTCCTGTGTCACCAAAGTCTGTCCCTCTGTTACATAAGAAAATCAGATTGGTCTGACATAAATTAAGCCTCATCAAATTAGTCTGCTGGATTGATTTTTAATTCTGTTGCCTGGTGGGGGTCTCCAAGGAGAAAGGAAGTCTCTGAGGTTGCCATGACCCAACCTAGCTCAGTCATTCCATTCATTAAAAACTTCCTAGCTTCACCTCAGTGTAATCACAAGCCCCATAAATTGCATCCTTAAGCACTCTTTTTTTTTTTTCTAATTTCTGCAGAGAAAACATTTCAAAACTTTCTAAAGAACTTCTACTTTACATTTTTAAATTGCTAAATAATTATCTTAGTATAATAGAGGTTCGCAGAATTACAGACAGCAAAATGATTTACCTAAATAAACTGAAAGTCAAATAAAATGGAGAGTATTTAATATTATGATTACCCATCATTTATTAATGACTTACCAGGGGCCTGGTGCTTTGTTGGGCACTTTGAATTTTCTCCATTGAATCCTCACTGCAGGAATGAGGCAGGAACTATAACCACCCTCCTTTTATGAGTGAGGAAATGAGGCTTGAAGTCTGCAAGTAACTTTTCCCAGTACCAGCCTGGAATCTAGCCCTATCCAATTCCAAAGCCTCTACTCCTAAATACTGCCTTCCTGATTAATAAGGGATATGCTATGAAATTCTTGATTTTACAGTTCACGAAACTCAAAGTCAAGTCTGATCTTTTGATATTCTACTCTGATCTCAGACAGCACAATTTTCTTCTGCATCATCTCTAAGGACGGAATATCTTTTCCCTAAGGAAGGGGGCCTTACCATACCTTTGTGGAGCAGTTCTCTTGTGAGACTCTTCCTGCTTCCTTGTAATTTCTACCCGGTGAGCTCCAGACCTGTGTGATCAAGTCTGGCACAGGCAGCTCTTTCAATATTTGAAGATGGCTGTCACATCTCTTACCATTGATCTTCCAGGCCAAATACATGCAGTTCCTTCAATCTCTTCTCACACCTCATGTAGGCCTGACCACATTCTCTAAATACACTACTCGGTTTGTCAAAGTCCCTCTTGATACAAGGGACCTATGGCTAACTCCGAGCTACTGATGTCAGCTGAACGGCATAGGGCAATACGAGGTGTGTTATGATATGGTCATTGAACAGACCTCTCTTGGTTTGTTCAGGTTAGGATTTGTTTGTTTTCCTGCTGTTGTTTTTGCCATATTACCTTGATGACTCATATTAAGCTTATGATTAGTTAAAACCCTTAGATCTTTCTTTATACTCAAATTTAAGTTTTATGACATCAAGGACATTGTCTGTACTTTCTCTGCTATGTACCCAGCACCTGGTACAGTGACTAAAACATAGGTGGCGCTCAATAAACGTTTGTTGAATGAATGAATTTCTTTCCTTATGAATCCTGAATTGGTATGATTGATTTCAGCACCCCAAATAAGGAATTTTTGCATTTATTTCGGTTAAATTTCATCTTATTGGTTTCAGTTTAGTGTTTAAATTTGCTGACCTTGATTCATTTTGATAGAGCTATGAAGACAATATTCTAGGTCTTTGTTTCCCTGTGTTGATAGAATATGATAAAAGACATGTCTTTTTTAGCTCTTTTGTTCACTGAATAGACATTTGCACAAA